CACCCAGGGTGGGGCAGGGTGGTGCTGTACCAGCCAGGTGGGGTGCAAGGCATAGAAGCCTGAAGTCCTCTCTGTGCCCCCAGCCAGCCATAGACTCCCAAGCGCAAGCCCCCTGCGCAGTGTGAGGGCCCTGACAAGAAGAAGGGACGGCAGGGGACAGAGGAGGACAACTTCCGCTCCACTGCGGAGGCCCTCAAGGCCGCGCCCACAGAGAAGCGCACAGTCCGCGTGGACCCCTCGTGTCCTCTCAGCCACAAGCCTGGGGCCCAGGTAAGCAGTAGCCCCCAGCCAGGCCCGGAGCCTGTCCTCCTGGGTCAAGTACACTCAGACCTGCTCCCCTCCCCACTCGGCTGGGCTCTGACCACGGCGCTCAAGGGTTTCAAGTCAGCCTCGTCTCCAAGACCCTAAAGGTCAGACAGGCCACATCTCATCAGACCTGGGAAGCCGCTGTCTGCTCTTCTTTAAATTTATTTTTAATGTGTTTTACTGATTTGGGAGAGGAAGGGAGAGGGAGGGAAATAGAAACATCAATGATGAGAATCATTGATCAGCTGCCTCCTGCATGCACCACACTGGGGATCGAGCCCACAACCTGGGCATGTGGCCTGACCGGAAATCGAACCCTGACCTACTGGTTCATAGGTCCACACTCAATCACCGAGCCATGCCTGCCGGCAGGGCTCCTGTCTGCTCTTTAGACCACAGGACAGGCCCTGGGCTTCTTAGGCCACTCCCTACCACACTTAAAGCCGGCTCACCTGCGTCCCCTCAGACCAGCCCACAGGGGAGGGCTGTGTCCCCCTGAGATCCTCCCAGGGCAGGGTCGTGTCCCTGTGAGACCTCCCTGGCCAGAGCCTGTCTCCCTCAGTCCCCGCCCCAGAGCACAGCTGCATCCTGTTCTCCCAGAACCTCCCCCACTTCCCGAGGTGAGCCATGTCCCCTCAGACTCCAGGGGGCAGAACTATGAACCCCTCAAGCCTCCCCAGCCTGGGCCTCCTCTGCCGCCCGGTGCAGTTAGACCCCTCTGAGGTGCGGCCGCCCATGCCAGCCTGCCCTGCCCTGCCCCCTGGCCACGTGCACGAGGACTACGACTGCACCCTGAACCAGACCAACATCGGGAACAACAACAACAAGTTCTACATCATCCAGCTACTGGAGGATGGCGGGCGCTTCGCCTGCTGGAACCGCTGGGGCCGCGTGGTGAGTGCCCGCCAGATCCCACCTCCCCCACCTCTCCCAGCTCAGCACAGGCCTCAGCACAGGCCCGAGGCCACAGATGCTGACCGTCCCAGGCGCCCAGCACAGGGCCTGGCACCGCAGGCCAGCAAGCCTATGGAGGCAGCGCGGTGGGCACCCCTGAAGGCTGTCGTTTGCAGGGAGAGGTGGGCCAGTCCAAGCTCAGCTACTTCCCGTCCCTGGAGGATGCAAAGAAGGACTTCGAGAAGAAATTTAAGGACAAGACCAAGAACAGCTGGGCGGAGCGGGAGCACTTCGTGGCCCAGCCCGGCAAGTACACGCTCATCGAAGTGCAAGGCGAGGAGGAGGCCCAGGAGGCTGTGGTGAAGGTGAAGTGGCCTCCGGGGAGT